ATATGTATATATATATTTTTTTCTATGTTCTTGAACAGTAGGCAGGTACCAAAGAATTAGAAGTTAGCTAGTGACACTCTTCTTTTCAAAGGAGGTGATAAAAATTGTCCCAGTAATTACAGACCCATTAGTCTTACATCAGTTGTAGGAAAAGTTTTGGAAAGTCTGATAGAAGATGTTTTGCAAAATCATTTAACAAAGTTTAGAATTTTATTGGAGAGTGAACATCATTTCACTAGAGGAAAATCTTGCCTTACAAATCTTTTAGCATTCTTTGAGAAGGTTACTGCTTATGTAGATACAAGAGTGTAGATTTGGTGTATCTGAATTTTCAGAATGTCTTTGACAAGGTACCACATAAAATGCTTATAAAAAAAAAAATTATATCTATAGGTGTTGGGGATAAGTTAGCAAATTGGATAGAAGAGTAGCTGGGTGGAAGAAAGCAGAAGATCATTATAAATGGAATTCAATCAAACTAGATTAATGTTACAAGTGGGATACCTCAGGGCTCAGTCTTAGAACCTTTGCTCTTTTTGATTTACATCAATGACATAGATGAAGGAATGGTCAATAAATTACTCAAACTTGCAGATGGTAGCAAGGTCTTGGGTGTTGTTAGCTGTATAGAGGATGCTGCTGCTTTATAAAAGGATTTATATCATTTAGTGACTTGGGCAAATAAATGGCAAAATACTATATCATAGCATATGACTCTAATACTATAACAGTAATACTTGTATTTAATGTATAATCAACTATGCATACCTAATAGTAAATTACTTCATAAAGTTAACCTGAAATTAGGCACTTTTCCCTATTATTAATATTTATTAATAAAGTTAATTCAACTTCAAGCACCAACTCCAAGCACTGTATTATATATATATATATATGTGTGTAATTTGTAAGTCATGAACTTAAGTTTAAGTTACAGCACAAGTTATACATTTTGTTAATGACTAATAATGTTAGAAATAAAATTAACTCATACTGGCACAGACATTCACTCAGAGTTACGCACTGTCAATGTTTACTCTGTCAGCTAGCCTAAACTTACCTTAATTTTCATAACTCAATTCCAACAACAGACCTACTCTGTACTTGTTATGACTTGTACTTTTGTGTAGAAACCTGACTGTATAGTTCATCCTCAAAGTCACTCAAACTGCATTTTTCTTTGACGTTATGGTTAACTGTGGATTGTAGTTTACATTAACTTTAGCTTTCCATAGTTTTCTACAATCAAACTAGCATTAATTATTAATATTATATAATATTATAACTGATAAAACAGAAGCATGACAAAATTTTCAAAGGATACAGGTGTCAAAAAATAGTATCGTCGAGGTACCTTTACGTTCAGTATTCCATATTATCGTGTAAAGTACAAATTCTAATTACTACTACTAGTAGTAGGTAGTACTAAGTGACTAACTACTAATACTATACACATAATACAGTATACTAAACCATAAACACTCAGTCTCAAGTTAACAGCCTACTTTCTTTGGTTTTCCGATATTAATAACTTCACATTAACATCTAACTACCAATGCTAGTTTAAAATATAAATATACTAATTTTCTATGATATTCTAAATTATTCTATATTCATGTAAAAAATAAATGAAAATAATTTCTTACAATACAAATTGAAATTAAGTTGTAAACTTAATTTTTACTTTTTCAATACCTCTAATTTGAGAAATTCCCATGACCGAAAAATCTGTCAAACTATCGCCATCTGTGATAACTTGGAAAGTGAATTACACTGTAATTTATACCAATAAGTCACTAACTCAATAATTTTAAAAAATAGGCACTGAAAATATTACACAAAGAATAGACAGTGCGAATGGAAAAAGCCTAGAACAATAAATCGCAATATATTTCACGTATGAAATTATATAGAATATGTCCTTCCTACAGTATAAAGTCTTAGTTGAGGAAATAATTTTAAATAACACAAAACCTTGTAATTTACTTCTTTATATACAAAAATAATTTAAAAGGAAATAATTGTGCATATTCTTTCTTTATTTATTAAATGATCTAACTGCTTATAAGAATTGTTTGTTTTAAATCGTAAAGCTACATAATGAGCTATCTGCGCTGTGCTAACCGCAGACATCGAACCCCGAGTTTTAACTTTATTAGCTTCAAGCTAACCGCTGAGCCACTCTGAGCCACAAGTTTCACGAATATAAGAACATCTGGTCATAATACTGTTACGACAGCGGTAGTTACGTGACACTGGTAACACGTCATGATATTCTAGAAGGATCGGGGAACATCACGAATAATCCAGTATGTGCTAGGCACCCTCTATTCCTGTATATAAGTGCACCGGATAACGTGAGACGAATTAATCGGGATATAGAACTGCAGACAGATAGAGACGGACAATTGAGTCAAGCGCGGTAGTAAGTAAGTGCGTGAAATGTTCCCTGTGAATTATAATGTGTTTTTATAAAATAAGTTAAGTTAAATTGGCTGTGGAAATTAAGTGTATTGCAAAGTTGAATTGAGAAA